GCACATCAGAAAGGGCGTTCACCGTTTATAAGCAGCTAATGCTGACAAGTCCATCTGCCGGCCAGGACAATGCCTCCTGCTGGAGCTCTTTTTTTCTCTCCTGCTGGAGTTTGAGTTGATCTGAAGCCAGCAGCGCCTGTGAAGATGAAACACACGGAGCCGGGAGATCTCTCAGACCGCATGCATCGGGTGAAAGCAGGTCTCTCTCTCTCTCTCTCTCTCTCTCTCTCTCTCTCTCTCTCTCTCTCTCTCTCTGTCTGTTTTTTTAATTAAAACCAGCACAAAGCTGCAATTATCTTCAGGTATGCTAAAGAGGAACAGCTGGAAGGATGCCACGCGCTGACTTTCTCTCTCTCTCTCTCTCTCGGCTGCTGGAGTGTTTAAAGTCGACTGAAAGTGCAAGAGCTGAAACAAAAGAGCTTTTACATTCATGAACTCTGAAATCTGTTTATGGGGGATTGAGGGGGAAAGAGCACACGCTGATATAAACCTCATATAATACAGAGATATTGAGAAGAACATTGAGAGACGTGACTGAGAGACTGATGGATGGAGGATAAATGGATCAATTGTCTAATAATAGAGTGAACAGACTGCTGAATGAATGAATGAATGAATGAATGAATGAATGAATGAATGAATGAATAGAAGGATAAATGGATGGATGTATGTATGGATGGATGGAGTGATGGATGGATAAGAAATGGATGGATGGATCAATAGATCTATAACAGAATGGACAGACTGCTGAATGAATGAATGAATGAATGAATGAATGAATGAATGAATGAATGAATGAACAGAGGGATAGAAAGATGATGAATAAATGGATGGATGTATAGTGTGTTGGATGGATAAATGGCTGGATTAATGAAAGGATGAATAGATGACAGACGAATGGATGGACAGACGGATGGATGGATGGATGGATGGATGGATGAATGATGGATGTATAGAATTTTCAGTTCGTCTTTATTTCTATAGCTCTTTTACAATGCAAATGTCAAATCTAACAATGCTCAGCTCCACCAGAAAAATGAATGGATGATGTATTAATGGATGATAGATTGGTGCATAAATTGATGGATAGAAGGGGGATGAATAGATGGATGGATAAATGAATGGGTGTTTGGATGGATGGATGGATGGATGGATAAATGGATGGGTAGGTGGATAAAAGGATGGATGGATGGATAAATGAATGGGTGTTTGAATGGATGGATGGATGGATGGATGGATGGATGGATGGATGGATGGATGGATGGACAGATGGATTGGTAGGTGGATAAAAGGATGGATGGATGGATGGATAAATTAATGGGTGGTTGGATGGATGGATGGATGGATGGATGGATGGATGGATGGATGGATGGACAGATGGATGGGTAGGTGGATAAAAGGATGGATGGATGGATGGATAAATGAATGGGTGTTTGGATGGATGGATGGATGGATGGATGGATGGACAGATGGATGGATACATGAATAGGTAGGTGGATAGATGGATGGATGGATAAATGAATGAGTAGGTGGATAAATCAATGAAGGGATATATGATACATGGATGAATGGATGGATCAATAGAGCAATAATATAATGAATATACTGGTGAATGAATGAATGAATGAACTGTTGGATGGATGGATGATGAAAGCATGGATAGAAGGATGGATGATAAAATGATTGTAGGATTGGTGAATGAGTATGATGCAATGGATTAATAGAATAATATTTAGATGGATTAGATTAATGTGTGAATTAATGAAATAATTTATGAATGAAAATACACACAGACGGACAGATAGACAGATAGATAGATAGATAGATAGATAGATAGATAGATAGATAGATAGATAGATAGATAGATAGATAGATAGATAGATAGATAGATAGATAGATAGATAGATAGATAGATAGATCATGCAGTAACTGATGATAATTCATCTCTCAATCCTCCTACAGATTAAAGGATCAATCTAATGAAAGGCTGAGTTATTCTGATATCCACTTGTTTTGGGGGGATATGGAGGATTTCTGATTCATTGTAGTGGAGAGAGAAGTGCAGGAATGATAAAACCATCTGCACCACACAACCTGTGTGATTATGGTTATATTTTGATGAATTATTTAATTACCAATAATCATGTTATTTACAATGAGTAATAATATGATAAAAACTATGAAGAAAAAACGTGAATATGATGAAAATTTTGAAAGAAATTATTATTGTGTGTGTGTGTGTGTGTGTGTGAGTCAGTGTCTGTAATGTTAGTTTTCTCATGTGCTTTGCTGCCCTCTAGCGTTTACATCAGCCTGTGTGTGTGTGTGTGTGTGTGTGTGTGTGTGTGTGTGTGTGTGTGTGTGTGTGTGTGTGTGTGTGTGTGTGTGTGTGTGTGTGTGTGTGTGCTTTATTTTGGCTGTCGCAGCTTTGAAAGTATGAAAAAATACGTGGACCTTTTTGTTAGAATGTTAAATAAATTTAGTTTCAGTTTTTAAATGGACAGAAATGTATTTAGTTGCTGTTATTTCTATTTTTGTTCACTGCTGATGTGCTTCTTCTTCTTGCATTTTAAAAGATTGTTGATTTTATTATTTAAAAAACAAATGTTTTTTTAAATCAACACATTTCACAACCCTTTACTTTAGAAACGTGGCACATTACTGAATGATACAGCATATTTTATATGCTGAAAGGAATATGCAAGCATGAGCAGCAATATTCATTGTGAAAGGTTATGCAAAACTGCGATGCAATATGTAAGTGGCAATGTATTTTTGTATTTTAAATTTGCATCCAGAACATGTTTGCAAAGTTTGATGCTAAATTTTAATTACATTTGAAAGTGAATATTGATTGTCAGCTTCCAGACACGGAATAAATCAGCAGCAGTGCTAGGAACTATATTAACATTAAAAATATGGTAAAAACCATAAAAATGTTTAGTAGTGTTTGCAGTAAAGTACTGTAGTGTGTTCATTTATACTGTTCATACATCAACGCACATCACTGATGAGAAAAACTAAAAAGAAGTCATAGTAATTTCAACAGCAAAGCATAAAAAGCAAAGTATCATGCAGGGAATCCTGGAAAAGTTATATTAAGACTATTAACTGTATATCTTGTGGAAAAATATATTACGGACAAAAATATTCAGTGATTTCAATGGTAAGAAGCTGTACAAATGAAACAGTAAAAGTCCATAAGTTTCCCAGAATTCTCTGCATGACACTTCACTGTTTATGCCTTGACGTTATTGTTTTGTTTTCTCATCAGTGATGTACATTAGAGGTTTCTGTCTCATCTAATATTAATAAATCATGTTATTTGCATAGCTTTAATTTTAGGTGTGTTCTTATTAGGCTTGGGCGGTAATACGATAGTATGGTATACCACGGGATCTAAAAATAGCCCCTTTCACACATACAGACCTTTCTGGAAAATTTCCGTAACGTCCTCGCCTGTGTGAACAGCGCTTTTTTGAATATACCGGTAAAGTTGTTCCCGGAAATTTTCCAGATATTTACCGGTATCACTGTGTGAAAGGGGCTAGCAACGGTGTCAGTTTCAATACCGTTAAAACGTCATAAAAAACAACACACTTAAATAGGAGACAAGTATTAAATAATAAGTATTATTTATCAAATGCTTACAAATGCGTATGCGGGATTGTCATCACGAGACCGTGTGGAGGAGAGAGAGAGAGAAGAGGAGAGGGAGAGGTGGCGTGTGTGCGTGCGTGCATGTGTGACGGTGATCTCTTATACGGACAAGGCAAACTGGTGACAGCGAACCTAAGGTCGCATATACGGTATTCGGTTTCTAAATGGTTTAGGCACAAGCCAACATTTTGGTGACGCTGTCTCAGCCTTACGTCATCATTTTTTTTAATTACGCACGGTAATGCTGGATACCGGGGTAAAATAGGGAGGAGGTTTGACGGTATTAAAATTTGGATACCGCCCAAGCCTAGTTCTCATGATGGTGTTCAGTAGCTGTGTAATGCCACTGAGCATGCCACTTCTGTATGTTTCTGTGTGTCTCTACTTGAGGAAGAAGTTGGTGATGAGTTTAGTTCATCAGGGGGCTTTCTCATTCACAACTGCTTGTGGTTGTGTTTTTCTCCGGGGATATGATGTGTAGACATTAGTGATGGGAAGTTCGGATCGTTCAAGATGAACAAATCAGTTTTCCACCGAGCCCAAATGTTGATCACACTACAAGCAAATCTGAAGTAGAATGCTATGAGAAAGAGAAAGTAATCATTGCTTGTTTGCCTGGTCTTCTGTCTACGATCAGCTCAGCTCTTCAAGATTGATTGGGTCTTTCTCGTGATACAGACAGACTCATTTAAGCTTCACAAATGAAGACAGTCTGAACTGTTCGGCTTTCTAGCCTTCAGGTTTTTAAGTTCATTCATCATGTTCAGCATGTAAAGAGACGAACGACTCAAACTCGAGGACTCGAGAGGTTTGCTCCGGCTCTGACTGCATAGAGTGCCTCACGTGGTAAACGACAGACTCAAACCCGACTGAAGACAAGGAAAAAGGAGCTAGTCTTCCCCTCCGCCTGTGCAATGTGTGCATGTGCTAATGAACGAATCACTCCCTGAGATGACTCACGATTACGGAGTCACTTTAAAGAGTCATTTGAAATGAACAGATGATTCAGGGATGACCCATTGCTGGTAGATGTTTGTAAAACACTGTGTGTATAATGCTTCAGTGTAAATGAGTGAAATACAGTAGTTTACCGTAAAATCATTAGAACTGTCACAGAGTTATGTTTAGGGCATGCACATGAACATGCATCGACACATCATCAGCATCAGTCATGCTTCTCTGAGGCGATGATGGGTTACAAAATCCTAGAAAGTCTGAGGCAGGAATAAGATTGTCAAAGATAACTTTCCCAGTGGAAGTTACGGCTCTGATTAAATCAAGCAGAGATATTGAGTAGTTGGAGTTGTTAACAGTGCAGTTTTCTCTCTCTGTGTGTGCAGGAAGCGTTCAGTGACCCACGCTCAGCTGATGCATGATAAAGGCCGAACGCTGCAGGATTTTAAGCGGCGCATGTGGCTGCAGGAGCTCCTGCATGAAGTGCACACCGCAGAGATCCGGGAGGCGCAGCAGCCCAGGGGCGGAGTCAGCATCAGCAGTGGTGCAGGGGGCGGGGTCGGGACTGGAGTCTCCATCACACTGCCTGCAGGAGTAGGCGTGTCCACTGGAGCAGGTACCGCCCACCCCAAACCCGCCGGCGGCACCAAAAACCTGCCTATAGGCTTTGGGCTGGAAGATGAGGAGGGCACAAACCTCCCGCAGGAGACCCACAAATCCCAGAACTACAAGGACAACATGATGAAGGGCATCCGGAGGAAGAAGAAGAGCCGCACGGGGAAGAGGAGAGAAGGAGAAAAGAGGAAGAGAAGAGCTCGATCACTGCAGGAGTTCAGCAGCGGCGTCCATCTGCAGCCGTACAGCTGCTAAAACACTGTCAGACTCTGACGACGGTATGACTATTACAAACATATGCAAATCACATACAGCCACGCCCCTAAAGCACTGTCAGACTCTGACGACGGTATGACTATTACAAACATATGCAAATCACTTACAGCCACGCCCCTAAAACACTGTCAGACTCTGACGACGGTATGACTATTACAAACATATGCAAATCACATACAGCCACGCCCCTAAAACACTGTCAGACTTTGACGACGGTATGACTATTACATACATATGCAAATCACTTACAGCCACGCCCCTAAAACACTGTCAGACTCTGACGACGGTATGACTATTACAAACATATGCAAATCACATACAGCCACGCCCCTAAAACACTGTCAGACTTTGACGACGGTATGACTATTACATACATATGCAAATCACTTACAGCCACGCCCCTAAAACACTGTCAGACTCTGACGACGGTATGACTATGACAAACATATGCAAATCACTTACAGCCACGCCCCTAAAACACTGTCAGACTCTGACGACGGTATGACTATTACAAACATATGCAAATCACATACAGCCACGCCCCTAAAACACTGTCAGACTGTGATGACGGTATGATTATTACAAACATATGCAAATCACATACAGCCACACCCCTAAAACACTGTCAGACTCTGATGACAGTACAACTGTTACAAACATATGCAAATCACATACAGCCACGCCCCTAAAACACAGTCAGACTATGAGGACGGTATGACTATTACAAACATATGCAAATCACATACAGCCACGCCCCTAAAACACAGTCAGACTATGAGGACGGTACAACTACACATCTTCAAATCACATACATATATTTATTTCAAGTACAGTGTGTTTGTAATATACAGTTAAAGCCAATGTATTTGAACATATATATACATATGTGTAATTACAACAGTTAAAAAAAACATATGTAAATGGATATTTTTGCAATATTTTTAAAATATGTTGCACATATAATTTATTTTGTTTAGCAAATGTAAATCATTTAGGTAATCCTAACGGACCTAAAATAGTAAAGGTTTATTATGATTTACCTTCAGACATTTTTTAAAAATGGTTATGTTCCTTTTTTTAGAGTGTATGTAAACTTCTGTATACCTAAATACACACACATACTGTACATTAAATACAAAAATATAATATAATATAATATAATATAATATAATATATATATATAAATGAGTAATTCTGATGATTTTAAAGTGATTTTTCCTTCTTGTCTTTCAGATCGTGAGGACTTGGACGCCTAAATGCTCACGTCCACTGTAAAAGTGAGAGGAAAATATTTATTGCCTGTAAATAATCTCAAAGTGACAAAGACAAATATCGATACTGCATTATTTCAGCTCTGCGGAGCCACAGATTTGGATCCTTGTGAATACTTTGCTTTATTTTTTCCTTTTTATCCTTTTATTTTAGGACTATGCCTCTATTACGGTGTCAGAATTCCTGTAATTTATTTTGTTTGAATGGTGTATTTATTTTGTAAAGGTATCAAGGTGCTGCTGACCTTCTATATTTTTGTACTATAATGCACTTTAGATATATAAATCTAGAAATATATAACAAGTCATGTTGTTTAATGGACGTGTTTTGTGGTTGAGTTGAATGAAGAAGACTACAGAGTCACCCTGGTGTTTGTTTATCAGCTTTCACATCTGTGTTTCTGTCACAAACCCTAGTGAGCTCCCTATCTAGGCAGCATCAGAGTGAGAGATGTTCACTATTGAGGGTCCGCGTTGTAGAAATGGGTCATATTCAGGCCCTAATATTTGAGCTGTGTGTAAAATGTGCGTCTATGTAGATTCAAGTTTTTACAAACAAAATATATTAAATCTGATCATTTTTATTTAAATTAGCATTTTCTGCATTTTTTTAAACCTCCTTGTCAGTTGGCATTTCTGTGTGGAGTTTGCATGTTCTCCCCATGTTGGCATGGGTTTGCTCCGGTTTCCCCCACAGTCCAAAAACATGCGCTATAGGGGAACTGATCAACTAAATTGTCCATAGTGTATGAGTGTGTGTGTGTGTGTGAATGAGTGTGTATGGGTGTTTCCCAGTACTGGGTTGCAGCTGGAAGGGTGTCAGCTGTGTAAGACACATGCTGGATAAGTTGGCGGTTCATTCCGCTGTGGTGACCCCAGATAAATAAGGGACTAAGCCGAAAGAAAATGAATGAATGAATATTTTTAAACCATATTTAAAAGCCTAAAATCAAATATGAACCATAAACTCACATGTCTGCATTCAGGGTTGTGGTATTGTTTACTTACACATTTTTATGTTTTTGGTTTTATTTAAATAATGCATTTATTACATTTTGTTACTCTCTTTAAAATGCAGGGTTGTTGTTTTTTTTACCCAATATTGGGTCAAATATAGACAAACCCTTATGATTTGATTAATATTTTAAATTTGATAAATATTTCAGTAAAAATCTCATTTAAATGATGCATTTTTTAAACCAATACTTGTTTTTTTGTTTTTTTGCATTTGACTCAACATTGGGTTTGTTCACACTTTGTCTTAAACAACCCTGCATTTTAAAGTGTGTACAATTGGAATAAAGTGTTTAAAAGTGGATTATTTTAAGCACGTCGTGATTTTTCCAGGTACGATGCGATTTTAAATTAACATGTTGATCCTGGAACATCATTTTTGTTGGAAAACATAACCTGTTCTCTACCCCTAAACCCAACTTTCAAGAGTTCACACTTAGCTCATGGTTTATACATAGCTTGTTTGGGATGCTGTCCCGGGAGAGAGCCCTGACCTCAAGGGATCCTCGAGCCCAGGGCTCCCCCCTTTCGCAGGGTGAGGGGAGATCGAGCTCAGGTCAATCTCAAACTCCCCTGCTGCTGAGACCAAGGCGAACGTCCTGAGAGTAAGACATTAGAAAAAAAGATTTAGGCTTATTTTATCTATAATATAGAGCACATTTGGATGGTGGGAGGAAACCGGGAAACCCACGCAGACACGAAGAGAAAATGCAAACTCCACACAGAAATACCAGATAGTTTAGCAAGGACCCAACGCCACTGGTATTGCTGTGAGGCAGCAGTGCTAGTCACTAGGCCACCGTGCCGCCCATTCTGGATAAAGGTGAAAGAAGGGGAGGAGAGAGAGGGGTTCTTCCAGACGAACATAGTTGAAGAAAGGAAATGAGGATATTTATATACATAGTGACTTGGGATCCTTTGATTGGAGGATCATGATTAGCTAAGGTGGACCAGCTGGATCAATCATGAGCACCTGATCCTCTCGAAATTAGTTTAAAACTAAACTTCACTTAACTGTAGATTACTGCCCAAATCAGAGAGGAAGAATAGTTGGATAACGCTCATGTGCATAAACCTAAACAGTAAACATATCTGCTAAATTCTGATTGGCTGATTGGAAAGTTGTTCAATATCGATGTTCATCTAGGATCATGTCCTACTTGGTGAGATCAGGATAGCGAAATTTAAAGACATGAATAAATTAGTGTATGAATGTTGTTTAAACAGGGAATATTAGTGTCTCAAATTGAATTATTGATAAATGTAAAAGCATGAGGATTGGTTATAAAAAGCTCAGTGTTTATTAGTGGTACACTTTAAACAAGTGTTGGGTTGGGTTGTTGTAACCCAATGTTGGGTCATATATAGACAAACCCAACTGCTGGACATCAAGATTCAGTGAAATTCAGTTTATTATAAATAAAAGATTTGAATCGAACACTTTTTGTTGCTGTTGTTAATTTTGTGAGCTCCAAATGAACGCAATTTAAATATACAAATCTTCAATATAGGTCAGAATATTTAATGAGCATAAAAGTACAAAAGTAAAGTAAGAGAGGCGTCTATTGTGAATATATCTGATGCAGAACGACCCCACAGTTGTCAGTTTTCGCTCTGCTGTCAGTGTTTGGGGTGCAGACGCTGCTCACTGGGGTTTGAGGCAGAACTGTTGTCATGGTGTTTATTTGTGTTCTGTTTGCTGCTGATCTTCATCATCATCTTCATCATCTTCAAAAAGAGGATCTCCTTCAGCTTCAGCTTCACCACACATCAGCCCACACACACACACACACACACCAGCACATGCTGTACAAGAACTCTTGTTGTTTTGCACTGAGAGAAAAAAAAAAAAACCTGTACTGAATGAATTAAACATCTGACCATTTCCTGCAGAGTCTGACTCCTGTGTGTGTGTGTGTGTGTGGGGGGGGGGGGGGGGTTTAAAGATTGTTCTGCTTCCTTAAAAATGTGTAACAAAAAAGTTCTGAGTTCTGACTTTGTTCTCGCTTTTACTTTAATTCCGAGTTTACATTAAATTCAGAATATTTTGTTTACATCCGACTATTTAGACTTTTTCTTTTTTTTTCTTTTTCTTTTTTTGTTGAGTTCATGTCTCTCATTTCTTAATATTTACTTGTAATTTGAAGTCCACATCTTGATTTTGGGACTTGTTTGCTGTAATTCTGAATGCACGTCTCACAGCTCTGACAGATTGTGTGTGCAGGTCAGAAAGCAGCGCTCAGGATTGTGAATGTGTCTCCTGACAGGGAGTATAGCTGATCCTCATGCAGGTTCAGGCTGCGTCTGTATTGCAGATAAATTGAAAACGCTCCATGTCCACTTGATCATTTACAACTCTTTCTATCATCCACAGTATTAGAACTGAAATCGATCATCGTCGTTCATCTACTGCACATGCACAGACATAAGACGCTTTTACCTGCTCGTGTCCGCTGCTGTTTATTTACTTTCTGTCTCTTTAAAAAAGTAAATGTCAACCCAGGCTCATTCTGAAAATGTAGTCCCATGGACATTTCTGGAGACTGCGAAATACGTCCCGGGAGGTATGTATTCTTGCAGTTGTTTTCGCACGTCCGCGAGAGGCCGCTGTGCGCTTTTTCGTATCTCATATTACTCTAACGAGAGCCGTTTGCGCCTAATCTTTTCGCGTAAATCCACCAGTGGCCAGCCGACCAATCCAATCGACTGGCTCACCCTCCTCCTTCCCTAAACCCAACCACATTTACAGATTGACCTGCCCGCTTACTTCCCTAAACCCAACAGTTTACAAAAGCCGTCCAGAAAAAGAAAAGCCCTCGTCTGATTTTTACCATGTTTTCGGAGTTTACCACATTCTCACCCTGTTGTTCTCTCAGTTATTTTTTGGATTCTGTTTTTGTCTTACCTGATTTCTGGAACCGCTCTTCCCCGAACTCGAACCTCATCGTCATCATCCTTGTGGTCAACTCCTCTCTGCATCTCAAGTCCACCGATGTACAAGACAAGCTACCGAGACAAACTGGTTGCAGTGGGAAAGCCCTCCACAGTCACACCGCCCCGTAGCGTTCGCTTAAAAATGAAATGCAGCCATACGTACCTCCGGCTACATAATTCACGAAACATCCACGGGACTACATTTTCAGAATGAGCCTGTGTTGGTAAATGTGTGACCGTGGTCTGATCTGAACAACAGCTCCAGTAACTATCCCTGTGCACTGACGAGAGGTGATACGGGGGCATCTACACACTCACATTCATCTTTAATGAAGCTGCAACATCTGCGCTAGCTCAATCGGTCACTAAAAATGTGTCTAAAATGCATCATCGTTATCCAAAGCCTCCATTTCACCGTCTACACTGCCACACGAAAACGCTTAAAATGTATGCTGGATGAGTCGGCGGTTCATTCCACTGTGGCGACCTCTGAGAGATCAGGGACTAAGCTGAAGGAAAATGAATGAATGAATCTCAACTACCTTATGATCATCATTCATTTTGGCTCACATTTTTTCATGCGACAACACACTTTAGTTCTGATGTTGGTCTAAACTGAACGCTAACTCTGAAAACCGGACTGAAGCAGTTTCAATCTAGAACTTCTGTGTTCAGCTGCTCTGACACAATCGACATTTTAAAAGCGCTAAAGAAATAAAAATAATTTAGTTGAATTTCTCATTGCAGACAGAGATCAAAAATGTGTGGAAAAAGCCTCTGTGAATCAGGCTGTAATGAATGGCCAGCATTAGAGTCCACTGATCTTCAGTGTGAAACTAAAGTTGTCAGAAGTCTTGTGTGGAAATACAAATTCCTGATTAAAGCCAAAAACAGTTTCTGGGAGCACGCGGACACTTGGCAGTGGAGTTACAGGCGCTTTAATGTGTGTTACTGAGCTTCTGTGATGGCAGCAGAGCTCAGCACTCAAGGGGGCGATAGAGAGTTTCTCCACATCTGCACCAACAAACCAGATGCTGTTCTCCAGCTAACTGCTACAAACACTTTTATTATTATTTTATTGAAAAAAGAGTCATGTATAGCCCTGTCATGATATCTATTATTTGTTGTATGATATATTCCACCAAGATATATTGCGATAATCAATATTATTGACAATTTAAGACCATTTTATGCCACACAGCATTACATAATTCCAGAATGACAATATATTATCAGCACAAGGCAAGTGCACTCTTCCAAAATACACGTCATATTTCATTCTGAAGAATATTCAATATAATTATAGTCCTTTAAACTATTTAATAATCAGAATGTGAGTGCATATCCTGAATAAACATTAATCAATGTTAATAGAAAAGTGCAGGGTGAAGAGTAACAGAGGCTGTGCTATCTGCCAGATCTATTCATCAGACACCCACATGAAAATATACTATAGTCGTTTATAGTAAATACTATACAGTGTTTTATTAGCCATACTGACACTGAGAGCTCCAATAGAGATAGAGGTGATGCACAATCAGCTCAAATGTTGCTGGAATTGGTGTTTATGTGTGGGTGATATGTAGTGATATGTAATACTAGAAGTTGTTTAGCCACTGTTTCCTTGGTTACTATAAGAGCTTGTGTAGCGAACGCAAACGCGGTTTCGCGTCGTCCGCCTCAGTTTCGGCCCTTGTTTTGACTCGGGAGGCGTGTCCAAACGC